AATGAGTTCTGTTTACTTGCAGCTTATGCGCAATAAATGATACTTATTGTTTTTCTTAATTTTCTTCGTGTTTTTTTGTATTTATTTATTTTTCTGTATATATATATATATATATATATATATATATATATATTTTATCTTTTCAAATAATTTATAAATCTTGCAATATTACTGGGATGTGATGCTTTGTGCTAGGTAGTACTAAACTTAAGGGTGGCTCTGTATATACCATAAATTTCTTGTATTGATTTTGGTGTTTTCAAACCCACATCGTTCTTAGATACATATTTAGTCAAAAATTTTTTTAAGTAAAGCATAGCTTGAATATCCATATTATTTTACTATAAGAAAATATCCATATTTTAATATGTAATGGTTTGAAACAATTGAAATTATTTTCAAGGTGTTACAAAAATAAAACCCTCATTTTGCATTTATTCCAGAGCCATTGCTCCAAGATCAAACATGACTGTGTCAAGCCCATCAGTTCGCAGTAATCCACCACCTCAGAATAATGCCCCTCAAGTAATTGTATTAGATGATCAACCCAATCAGAAAACTATGTCAAATACTTCCAGACTATCACACTTTCCTAGTAGTATAGCAGCTACACTTGCTGCTAATCCAAGTCTTCAAATTCAACCTGCTTATAATAATAATTCAAGTAAGTTTTAAAACAAATATAAAACTATCCAGTGACCAGAAAAACAAGACAATGGTTTTTAATTGTAAAGTGTTTTGGATTAATATTTTTTTTTTAAATCGTGGTGCTTGCTGGAAATGACTTTTATATAAATGCTGACAATTTGTTTTAAAAAATTCAAAAACAGTATTTCATTATATTAAGGGATTATTCAGCCATAGTCCCCACCTATATTCAGTGTTGATTATATATTGTATGTACAAAAATGTGAACTCTTTTCCTATCCTATGTCAATCCTTTAACAGTCAACCTCAAACAAAGCTAGAGGTAATAACTGGTTGCTTTTGTTCAGAGCAAGCTAAGTAATGCAATGGATGTATGCTATGCTTGGCAAAAAAATAAATAATATTTATGCATTTTTGTTCAAGGGTTAGTTAAAGGATTAAGAGATTTTGGGAAGAACACACTATTTAATTTGTGCTATGAGTGATACATATGTTTCACTTAAAACTGATAAATTTTCAGAATCTTATAATCTTTTTTTGAAAAATTCTGTGCTTAATAGTTATAGTGAAGTTCATAATAATTATGACTATTATCTTTGTTTGGGGGTTACTTTATTTAACGAGGGTTCGTGTGGCATTGTTAAATATCCTTTTTTATAATAGGTTGGCAAAAGGCATAAAATTTGAGCACTTAAAATTTTTATGCTTGCAGATAAATTTTTCTGCTAATTTTATAATTCTATTTTATTAAGTTTTTAAAAATCTTAAAACAAAATTAAATTTTTAGAGAATGATAGATTTTGCAATACATGTTACATTAGCTATACTTATTCTTTAGTTTTTGAGTTTTTATAACAGTGATTCTCAACCACTGTGCCGCGGCACTTTTGTGTGCCGCCAAATTCTTAAAATGTACCGCCAAATATTAGAAATGATACANTTATTAAGTTATTAAAAATCTTAAAACAAAATTAAATTTTTAGACTATGATAGATTTCGCAATACATGTTACATTAGCTATACTTATTCTTTAGTTTTTGAGTTTTTATAATTTTCTACTTGACTGTAAGGATGCATTAAACATTTTTTTCGAAGTCATTATTAACACTTCTTCTTTTTTTTTTTTTAAATAGTAATTTTCATGTGTCTTTAGCAAATTATCTTGATTTTGAAATTTTTTTAGTTGTCTTTACAGTTGCATTAAAATTATTCTTTTACGTAATCATTTTGTACTACTTAGTGTTGTAGTTCTCCCATCTTTATTGCATTATGTTCTTATTGTGATTATGTCTCTTTTTTTCATTTTATTGCTTTCAGCCTAAAGTTACTTAGTAATTGTTGGATGTATGTGTGTAATTTCGGAGAATACACATTTCTCATTTTGTTTCTTTATGTTCCTATTTATAATTTTTAATGATGTTGCCTTACTCATTTTCTTAGTTTCAAATAAATTCTCATTTAAACTGTATATGCAGCTTAAGGTTGCAAGTGTGAGATAATGTGAATCCCTAAATTGATATCTTTCTAAATTCCGAAAATTTGCTCAAAGATGTTCGGAAATGTAAGATTTTTTGATTTTTTTAAAAATTTATTTACATTAAAGCCTTAATTAGTGCTTTTATGGACCTGCAAAATTGATTATAAATGAGTAATAAAATATTTCAAAAATGATCCACATTCTGTCAATTAAGGTGATTTTTATATTCTTTGGATCATAAACTTATAAAAATACCATTCCTCTCTGAAGAGTAATTCGAATATAAAAGGAAGAAACTGTTTAATTCGAATTCTCTTTAATCGGAATATTTACTGAAATGACAGGGTGATGCAGGTCATTGCACTGGGAAAGTAAATTTTAAAATCCTTTGTGTTGAAAAATACATGTAAATGTTGGCTTACCAATATTTGGCAAACAGATGCAACATTCACGAGAACACAAAACACCAATTTTGTTCATTTCAATAAAAATATTAATATTATATAAAATTTAAAAATAAAAGAATTTTTTAAGCTCTTTTATATAAATATTTTTTCATTATTTGAACCATGTCTATAATTTTTAGTGTGTATACATATATTCTTCATGATATAAATTTTTTTGTTGTGAATTTTGAGTTTTGGCTTTCCCTCTAAACCATAACAAACTTGCGACTCTACTTATAATTGAACAGTCAATAGTCTCTACCTCGCTAGTAGGTAATCAAAAAGTTGGGCTAAGTAGCACTCAATGATAACCAGAAATATATTATTTTTTTCTTTAAATTGAGTAAGATAAACTTATCATCAATCACATCTAATATAGTTTGCAAAGAAATTAGAAAAGGTACATGCTGAACTTTTAACTGTCTAAAGCACTTTGAAATAATAAAATAAACTTATATAACAGATTTAATTAATCCAGAGCCCTAGGAATAAAAAAGGTTAAAGTGCTTCCTCACAGAAAAAGGCCCTTTTTGACAGGGTGCTCACTACTGTTAAAATTTATGAAAATGTGTAATATTATATAATAATTGAATTTGATCAATTTTTAAATTACCCTCTTTTACTATTTCATGCGCATATTTGGCATTTGGTATATCTCATTATCAAAATTCAGAAAAATGTTAAGCTTTTGAAAAACAATGAAAGGCAAACTAAAAGACAATCTCGGTGTATAAATTTTCTACAAAGAAAAGTTGAACTAAAAAATGGATTAATTGATAAACAACTTGAAAGGTGCATCGCTATTTTTTTTTTTTTTTTTTTTTTTTTTTTTTTTTTTTTTTTTTTTTTTTTTTTNTTTTTTTAAATTTTAGACTGAAAGTTATGATAAAATAAACATTTAAAGGTACTTTTTTTTAAATTAAAGGTATTTTCTTATATTTGAGTGACTATTATTCATAGTAAAATTTTAAACATAATCAATTTCATCCTTTTTTAACATTGATATTTTAAAACCAATCCAATAAGACAGTCAACTATTGTAATTCTTTAAAAATAGTTTGGTAATTTGTTGTTGTGAATTTAAATGATCTTTAAAGTTTCAGTTTTGTAATTTAAAAGTATTTTATAGCTTTTGAGAGCTCACACCTAAATAATAAACCCTGTAGTTAAAAAAAATTATACAACATTATGCAAAAATTATCTATTTTGTTTAATAAAATTAATGTTAAAAACTAGGCACTTTGTTTTTTTTTTGGGGGGGGGGGTAAAGTGGACAATTGTAGGGTTTCTTTCTCTTCCACTCCTTTTTTCACTCATAAAATTACATTAAAGTTGCATTCACTACTTTAAAGTTACATATAAAAATATTGCAGTAATTATGACATGGTTTTCTCAATCATTTTGCCTTTTAAAGTAAAGAATAAATTATTTAAAAGGTTTTTTTTAAGCTACTAAGTAGCTGTTTAATAAATCCATGTAAAAAGTCTCCCTTCATGAATAACATAGATGAGAGAATACCAGTTTAACTTTAATTGTAATATTTTAAGTTACACTTGATATAAAATTTTATTTAAATATAAATTTTTCCATTTAGAAAAATATGCATAATTTTGAAATGAGAAAAAAATCTTTCTTTTTAAAGCATTTTTTGTTAGTTAGAAAATATATGAAAAGTTAATATATAAAAAGTAAACTGGCTATTGTATTTCAATCTCATTTTCAGACTAATAATGCTATTTTTTCTTTGAAAATCAGTTCTTTTTGATTCTTTGCACAGAATCCATTTTTTGATTTTGAATTGAATTATAGGACAAATTTTCCTTATTAATTTCTGGAAGAGCTTTTATTGTGTTGTAAAATTAATAGTTATTTTAATCTGAAAAATCAATTTAGAAAGAAATTTTCTCTAAATTCTTTCTAAACTAATTTTTCAGATTAGAAATTAAGAATTTAGAAATAAGATGTTTAAATAATTAAGCGACAGTCCTATAATGTTACTTTATTTTTTATTATAAAAGGAAACTAGGAAAGAAAATCAATCAAATCTAGGAAATCAATAAAATAATAATTATTGACAATTAAATAACTGTTTCAGTTATTTTATTGACTTAAATATATCTGTTAATAATAATTATTATTAATTATCATTAACATGGAAAAGTGACTAGAGAAATATGTTAGCCATTAAGAGCTTAGATCAAAAATCAAAATCTAATCAAAGATATTTCTACTGTTAATTTTTGTCATTAACTCATCAACTTTTCAATACCTCTTTTATATATATTTATATAATTACTTTCTTTTAACTTCAAATTTTAGATGAATAAAAATTTTTTCAATCTTTCTTTTTTGGCAAATATTTTAATAATGTATCTTTAATCCTCTGTATTTCATCCATAACTCATCTTATTTTTTTAATTACTATTTTTGCCTTCTTTTCAGTATCTCTCTCTCTTTTACATATGGGTATTTTATTAAAAATGGTATTTAATACTTAAGATTCTACTTGTATAGTTTGTATAGCTATTTATGTTACTTATATTTTGTCATCATTCTTTAATCATTCAGAAGAAATTCCATAAAAAACATCACAACTATATATATAATCTGTCATTTGAAGGAGTTGGTGAGCTGTGATTTCAAAATTTGCCTATCTGTTTTTTTAATCCCCTTTATTTATTTATTTATTTTTGTCTCATGCTTAGAAAAGTATCTCACACTTATTATAATTCAGACCAGGTTCCTTTTTTTTTTGTTAGATACTTGTTATACATCCAACTATTATGCATTTATTTACCTTTTTTCATTTTTGATGCTCAAATACTAATGCATTTTTGTATGTTTCTATTATTGTCTATTAAAAAAAGAATGATAATATCGTTTTATTTTGATTTGTTAATATTTTTTTCTTAGTTAAGAAAACTTAGTTTTGATTTTTTTTAAATTGGTTTATTAAGAATTCAATTTTTAAGCACAATACTTACGAACAGGTAAGCAGTTTTGCTTACTTTGTTGTATTAGTTTCTTAATTTTTAATTTGCCTATATCTATCAGGGCTCAATATTTATGATGGTCCGTTAGTTCGAAAACATT